CAGGGCCAGTGTGCCCAGCCTGTTGGGGATGCAGAAGGAAGAGAAGCAAGCTCTCTCCTGGAGAACACGCAGATCACTCCTCTTGCTTTGGTCCCGCCTGAGTCCCTGTGATGTGCCCCTTCCCAGGGGGACAAGGTGGACTCCGGAGACGGGCAGCCTGGGGTGGCAACTCAGCCCCTCCACCTCTCAGCCCCAGGCTACTCCTCAACTCCTTAGGGCCTCAGTGCCTTCAATATATAAATGGGGATAAAAATAGTCCCCACACTTCACACCCTTGTTGCCTGTTTTGAATGTGTGAGCTCACACAGAGCACTTAGGCCAATGCCTGGCACACAGTAAGGTCCTGATCATTATCCATTATGCTTATCTATGTATTTATAGGTAGAGTTGTGATAAAGTAACCAACCCGTGTGGTCTGGTTTCATGAAATACGAGAAGGAGAAACAGTATGTGGTTAATCCATAGTTAATTGTTTTTTAACGTAAGGTTTTTTTTGTTTTTGTTTTAAATTTTTTAACATTTATTTATTATTGAGAGACAGAGCATGAGCATGAGAGGGGCAGAGAGAGAGGGAGACACAGAATCTGAAGCAGGCTCCAGGCTCTGAGCTGTCAGCACAGAGCCGGACGTGGGGCTCGAACTTACAAACCGCGAGATCATGACCTGATCCAAAGTCGTACTCCTTACCAACTGAGCCACCCAGGCGCCCCAGGTTTTTTTTTTTTTTTTAATGTTTATTTATTTCAAAAGAGAGAGAAAGAGCGTGAGCAGGGGGGAGGGGCAGAGAGAGAGAGAGAGAGAGAGAGAGAGAGAATCCTAAGCAGACTCTGAGCCATTAGCACACAGCCTGATGCGGGGCTCACACTCACAAACTGTGAGATCATGACCTGAGCCGAAATGGAGAGTCAGACGCTCAACTAACTGAGCCACCCAGGCGCCCCCATCCATAGTTAATTTTCAAACATCTATAAATATATGGTCTGGTCTATAGATAATCCTTAATATGCAAAGCCTTTGGGACTGAAGTATATTTTTGGGTGTGTGAGTTCTTTCGATAAAAGACAAGCCACACTACACTGTAAACTCTAGATGGTAACCTTCCAAACCTATTAAAACAAAAGAGGAGTAGATAACATCTTAGTGCTTTAAGAGATTCTGCTATTTTTGCCGTCTTTCCAGAAGGAGTAGAGAGTCAGGGATGGCATAAAATGTTTCATAGCAGCCCTGAGTTTTAAAGACACAAAGAAGTGCTGGCTTAGAAACATCCTAAGGGTCAAATAAGATATTTACTAGCTGGGCCTTTTATTTTTTTGTTTCATTCACAGGAATTATACTGAACTTGATTTTCTTTTTTGCTTTTAGAAAGGTTATAAAAATATCAATTTTGTCCTACTCTAATCTGACACACGGATTTTTAAAAATGTTTTTATTTACTTATTGAGAGAGAGAGGGGGAAAGAGCGCAAGCAGGGAAGGGGCAGAGAGAGAGAGGCAGAGAGAGAGACGGAGATAGAGAATCCCAAGCAGGCTTAGCACTGTCAGCGCAGAGCTTGATTCGGGGCTAGATCCCACGAACTGTGAGATCATGACCTGAGCCTAAATCAAGAGTCAGACACTTAACTGACTGTGCCGTGCAGGTGCCCCAGACACAAAGACTGTTAAATAATTTTGCATGGGCAATGTCATAGGTCATGGTCCTCTGTACCTTCCTTTAACGGAAGAAAAGTCCTAACCATTTGTGCCCAAGACTAAGCAAGGATCTCTCCTGAATGTGTTCGAATGTCAAAAGTCATTCTCTTTTGCAAAAGTAGCTGTCAAGTTCAAGTGATTTTCCCCTTGTCCTTGCATTTAGATTTAGCTTTCATTGACAGCTTTTATGATGCTCTGTGGGTGCTGGAGAGCTAAGTCAGACACCATGGTGTCTGTTTCAGGGGGGGCTCAGTCTGTTTTGGGGTGGGGGGGTGACAGGCTATAAAGAGATGGCTCAGTGAAATCTGGCTGTGCCTTGGAGCAGGAGGCCTGGCCCCTCTCGTTTCTTACCACCCCCACCCCTGTGGTCCCCGTTCTCCTGGCATCTCCAGGCAGGCTCCCTGACCTTCTCCATGCTTCTGGGGACTTCTTATTCTCTCTCAGGAGGGGGATATAGACAGAGACAGGCTAAATTCCCAACCCCACAGTCCCTAGATGCACTTCATTCCTGCCTCAGTATGTGACCATCTACACCCAGGCCCTCTGACTCAGCACCCCATACGACAGTACTGTAGAATGGCAGATGTGGCCACAGCCCCCACTGGGACGTCCATATTTGCTCCTAATGAATACAGTTCTTTCAATTTCATCACACTAGGGCAGCCTTTCCCTTCTACCTGAGAGGAAAGAGGTAAACGTATCACTTACGTTGCACCCAGGTATGCATGGGATGGCCAGATAAAGAGGCTCTCTCTTTCTCTCTCTCTTTCTCTCTCGCTTTCTGCTTTTCTCCATGGGAAGCAGCTAAAGCCAACTTTGGGACATTCAGAGAGTCCTGGATTCCACCACGAGAAGGAGAAACCAGAATGAGGCCACAAGAGTGGACGGCTCTCTTGGTGGACCATGGAGAAGGGGGACTGACAGGGAGAGGGAAACATAGGTATGTGGGAACATTTCCCTTTCATTTGTAAGCCAAGTGATTCCAGCAGCTTGGACAAAGCTAGACAAGAACCCTCATGAGAAAAATTGGCCATAACCTTCAGGGGTGCTTAGTGGCCCTGATTCAAGAGACCCTGACAGGTAAGCTGGAGCTCTCTGCCAGGACACAAAGCCCAAAGGTCCCTTCCACATAGTAATATTTCTCTCTCTCTCTCCGTCTCTCTAAATCTCCCCCTCTCCCTCTCTCTTCTCTCTTTCTCTATCTGGAGGCCCTTATCTCCTTGGGAACAGTTGAGAGTGCAGTTAAGCAAGTGCTTTGGGATCGCCGGTTGGCTGAAAAGTCTAGAAAGAGCCTGAAACCGCTACACGTAAAGATGACCTTTCTTCAGAAACAGAAGTCTGATTCTTCCCCTCTGTTGGAATTCGCAGAGTCCTTTCTTCCCTCAAAGGACAGGAACAATGTCACACTGTATGTTTTGGCTGTTTCCCTCAACCTATGCTGTCTAGACTCTGTGTGCTTTCATTTAAAAAACAAAATAAAATAAAAATAAAAACAACCCTTCGCCACCTAGGCACCACTCTACCATCTTAAAACTATTTCTGGCAGGAGAAGAATGCTTCATTCAGGAGCCGCCCTGATGGGGAGACCCGTGGGAGAGAAGTAAGCCTGGACGCAGTGGCCTCGCGGAGCAGGACCCAGCTCCCAGGTGCCCAGCGTCACCTGACCTGGAGTCTGATTCCCCACGTGCCGGGCATTTTCCAACAGGCAAAACAAAAGAAAGCAAAAGGCCTTCTTTATCTCAGAGAATCTCTCGCTTTCTTCTGAATTGACAGGCTAAGGCTGCCCAGATCTGGAAAATGATGCTTTAAGATGTCAAGATTGAGACCTGCCGCTGGCCGCCTGGCCTATCAGGCCTGGGAGGGGTCACCCAAGCTGTGTCCACAGTTAGCAGCAGGACGCAGATGTAATTTCTCAAAAGAGCCTTCCATGGCTATTCATCCAACAAATACTTTCTGAATTCCTCCCGTATGCCAGGCAGCAGCGAGAAATGTTTTCCTCAACATTTTCTAGCAGAGGAACACATTATGAGAGGTAGATGCATTCTTTTTTTTGAGAGGTAGGTGCATTCAAAGAAGAGGCAGTATCAAAGGGAGTGATCTGTATTTGTTGATAAAGGAAGGGTCACTTCTGATTACTCCAACATGTCTTTTTCCAAACACGCATTTTCCCAAAGGTAATAAAATAGTTACAGCTAAGAACAAAAAAAAAAAAAAAAAAAAAAAAAGCATTCCATTCTTTATCAGATACTGAGGCCTAGAGAAACACCATTCTCCTCCTTAAAACGTAGAGTGGCTATGGCAGAATTCAGAAGAATCATCTGATTTAGTCTCCTGATGGAGTAGGGTTCTTGCTATCTGATTTACTCTGTGGCTATTTTTTTTTTTTTTTTTAACAAAAATTCCAATGAATGAATGCATCTGATTTAGAGCAAGTCACTACAAAGGGCGACACCGGGAGTGTCCTAACCCTGGAAGAGAGACAAAGCCAGGGTCCTACAGCTCAAGGCTTGTTAAAAAATCCTGGTGCTTTGGGGCACCTGGGTGGCTCAGTTGGTTTGAGAGTCCAACTTTGGCTCAGGTCATGATCTCGCGGTCAGTGGGTTCAAGCCCAGAGTCAGGCTTTGTGCTGACAGCTAGGAGTCTGGAGCCTGCTTTGGATTCTGTGTCTCCCTCTCTCTTTGCCCCTCCCCCACTTGTGCTCTGTCTTACTCTGTCTCTCAAAAATAAATAAGTGTTAAAAAAATTAAAAAAAAATTCTGGTGCTTAAACCTTAGGAAGGTTAGTTATCAAGGCCAGATAAAAGTGAAGCAGAGGAAAAGCGCTCTGCGCTTTGGATAATAAGTCCCCTTCTGCAACAGAGAAGCGGGAGATACGGCCACTCCTGCTCTGGGCTGAGGAAGTCACACTGTGGGCTGGGCTGCAGCTAGGGCTCCCAGGTGACAGAGACCACCCCCATCACAGCTGCTCCAGTGGGCAGGGCTGATCGCTGGGCCGGTCAGCTCTGCTAAGTATCCTGGGTAAGAATTTCCAACACGAGGGGCCATGGGTCTGGCTCCCCACCATGGGGCAATCTGCAGCAAGAGGAGAAACCATAACTGACAGCAAAATACCTCCAAATGGTCAGGAGTTAAGTGACTCCTTTCCAGCTCAACAATCCGCATGAGAAAACGCAGACACGTGTATGCATGGTCTATGCCCACCGACGTGCACGGGACTGCGTGTGTGAACACCTCCCCCTGCGGAACCTGGCAGCAGAGTCAGGTCGGCACCGACGTTCCTGAAAAGCCACGCGGTGCCTGCGCTGAGCCTCACCTGGGCCTCTTGTCTGTGGTGGCGACACACATGTGCTGGGAGGGCACCGCCGTCCATTTCTTCGCCTCCGTGACGAGGGCTTCCGCGTCCACCAAGCCAAATCCATAGAGATGGCTAACTGGAAAGACAGAGCCTTCAGACCCCGCCTCATCCTGCCCCCCAGGAACGGAGCGAGGCTCCGCGCTCACACTCCACTTGGCTCCCACGAAGGGCACCTGATCCACAACTGCCACGGGACAGACCACTTGTGTCACTCCGTGGCTGCAAGGGTGCGGGCCATCACCTGGAAGTCCCAGGCCGCAGGACCAGCCCTTCTGAGGACTGCTCCAAGATCCCAGCCACTTTACCCTCTCCCTGGTCTGTACTCCTTCAGGTCAGGGGTGCGGGCCAGCCAATGTGGCCCACTCCGGTGCTGAGTAGGAAAAGAAGTGTTTCCTACTCGGACCTATTACTTTCTTCCTGGGAGACGAGTTTGGGTTTCTGTATAGTGAAGGGACTCATCGGCATCTGGGCTCCCTGAGTCATGAACCAGACAAGAGAAACAAAGCCTTAAACCCGTTGGTTCACGCGACCATGATGTGCAACAAACAAGAAAGCAGGGCCACGCTCATCTTTTTTGCTGTCTTCTTGGCCTGCTAACCTCCCACGGCATTTGGGGAGAGGGGCACGGTGTGCGCACTTGTGAGTTGGCCTGAGCCAGTGTTTAATTTGGCCGTGGCAGGAGAGTTTCAAAGTTTAATTTAAGAGGCAAGGTCAAGAACTAGATACAATCTATTTTCCTATTTAATTAGGCCAACACTGAAATGTAGGTCAGCTCTTGTTACAGCACACGACTACCACCAGCATTCCTGCAAAACAAAGATGCATTAGGCCTGCCTGATCAATGGCTTTCTTATTAAAAGGAATGTCCCTTGGAACTCACAATAACACCACTTGCCCTATATTTTACACATACTAGTAGTATCAGGCTTGGTGTCGAAATAGTTGGGCCTCAGCTTCAGGAAAGGAGAAGAAGTCCTCCCTAACATACCATGGCTGAATGGAAATCTTTTTCAAGCATCTCTGGTAAGAAGCCATACAAACAAAGCCAATGGCACAGTCCTATAATTATCTGCTTAAGAGGCTCCATGTATCTGGGTTACAAGCCCTGACTGCAGGTTGATTTCATGGAACCTATGTCTGTCCCAGGCTGGATCGGGGGAAGAAGCCTTGCTGTTCTGGGAGTTACTTTTATAACACAGACAGAAGTTTTATAGTTAGAAAGTAACTTACATGGCTATCTCAGGGTCCTCATTGTACACATAAGGAAACTGAGGGCCAGTTTCAAAATCGTATTGCTACTCAGGACTAAGAATGCAAGCTGCCCTTAGGTGGCACACAAATAAATATTATTTATTTATCTTAATAGTCATGGATTTGTTTGGATGTGCATTAGGAAGAAATAAAAGTACACACCAAACCTGTGTTTAACTAGATGTAATAAAGTTTCCTTTTAAAAAATATATTTTTTTGAAAGAGAGAGTGAGAAAGAAAGAGCACAAGCAGGGGAGGGGCAGAAGGAGAGAAAGAATCTTAAGTGGGCTCTACATCCAGCTTGGAGCTTGACCGGGGCTCGAGCTCACATGAGATGGTGACCTGAGTCAAAATCAAGAGTCGGAGGCTTAACTGACTGAACCACCCAGGCGCCCCTAAAATATATTTCTTTATGTAAAAAAAAAAAAAAATGCAAGTCAATTTAAAGAGAACTATTATACCAATACTGGTACAGGTGGTCCCTGGATGTGGGAAAAGTCATGATGTTTAGTCATGATGAATTCTACCGATCTTGGGTTTTTTTCCTTAAAGTCAGTGTGAGGTCCCAGAATACCATCCTTAAATCTCTAGCTACATACGTCTCACTCTTGTGACACACAATCAAGGTCATTTGGGGATTCTTTTTGAGAAGCTCCTGTCAACCCTTTAATAGAGATTCCAGTAGGTGACCCAGTGGGTCCCCCAGGACCGGCTGACTGGTCCCCGCCCAGCCCAACAGGAGCCACCACTGCACCTTTATGACCAGCACCGTTGACTTTCCAATCATTTGCTTTCAGGTGCGCCGGCCTGGATGTCTTCACCAGCAGGTGCTGGACGTCCCTCCAGGTTAACTGGCTGCTGCAATGACACAATGACAGACCGCTGAAGTCCACACAGGTCAAAACAATGGCTTCACAGGACCATCCACTGTGGCACGACGGGAGCCAGCCCCGAGTGGGGACTTAAGGAATTCCCGAAGACTCCATTCCTCAGCAAGGGCTTATTTTATAACCTCTTTGTAAAGAATGGTTTCCAGGGATTAAATCCCAAGATAAAATAGTGCAACGGGTGACCTAAAATCCCTAGCGTTAAAAACCCAGCCCTGCTACCAAGGTATGCCTGAGTGCTCAAGGCCTAGAGAGGAAATTGTGGCAGCGGAGAGAGGGACCTCCTTATTTTACAAGTACGAGGGGGCCTATTCTTCATCATAACAAGTAAATGGCTGTGGTGCATGACAGCATGCTTAAGCCATCATCTTCCCAGACCCTGTCGTTGTTTAGATCCACCTCCTACCAATTATAATTTGAGAGTTTAGTAATTCCCAATCTATATTTGTTTTGGTGCAAAGTGGAAACATCTCATTGAAAGAACACATGCCCGCTAATAAAAATGCACAGATCAGAATTTTTTGAGTCTAAGATACATGGTCCCACCTTTTAAATGCCTCTGTAACCAGGATCCATCTTACGATGATAGATGATACTCTCTCATAACCCCTTCTGTCCACAGCATTAAGACCAGGTTGCAGACAGACGCTGTCTTAAATACAGTCTGCACCCCCTCCTCTTGACCAGTGCCTGCCCTAGCCCACAGTGGTTACAGTGGTCTTCCCGATCACCCACTCTTTGTGCATGCTTAAAAATATACATAACATATGGGGCGCCTGGGTGGCTCAGTCGGTTAAGCGTCCGACTTCAGCTCAGGTCACAATCTCGCGGTCTGTGAGTTCGAGCCCCGCGTCAGGCTCTGGGCTGATGGCTCGGAGCCTGGAGCCTGTTTCCGATTCTGTGTCTCCCTCTCTCTCTGCCCCTCCCCCGTTCATGCTCTGTCTCTCTCTGTCCCAAAAATAAATAAATGTTGAAAAAAATATATACATAACATAAAATTTACCCTCTTAACCATTTTTCTCTGTACAGTGCATGTCCTTGGTACCTTCCCATTGCTGTACATACATCACAAACTATCCATCTCCAGAGCTCTTTCATCTTCCCCAATTGGAATTCTGTCCCCATGAGACACTAACTCCCCGTTTCCTCTTCCCCCCAGTCCTCTGGCAACCACCATTCTACCTTCTGTCTCTATGTATGTGACGACTCTGGGAACCTTATACAAATGGGATCCTACAGTACTTGTCGTTTTGTGACTGGCTGATTTCACTCAGAATAATGTCCTCCAGGCTCATCCATGTTGTGGCAGGTGTCAGAATTTCCTTCCTTCTTAAGGATGAATAATACTCCATTGTTTGCATAGACCACATTTTGTTTATCCATACATCTATTGAGTAGGCACTTGACTTGCTTCCTCCTTTTGGCTATTGTGAGTCACACTGCTATGAACATGGGTGTACAAAGAGCTCTTCAAGTCTCTGCTTTCAGTTCTTTGGGTAGATACCCACCTGCAGAATTATAGGATCACATGGTAAATCTTTAAGTTTTTGAGGAACCACCACACTGGTTTCTACAGTGGCTGAACCATTCTATTTGTCCACCTCTTTGTCTGTTGTCCACTGGGACCTCACTGTGGTTTGAGTCTTGGGGCACAAGTAGATTCCTCCGTTGGGGCTCACTCTCCAGGCACTAGCCCCAGGCTTCTGGGATTTCTCCAGCATGTTCTTGCCACTGTGCCAATGACCTCACTGGCCTCCTGGCCATGTTCCCCCAGCCATGTCCATTAGTCCAGTTTCTAGGTCTTCGCTCGGCTCTCTGCTCCATATCCACTCCCCCTCCTGAGGCCCCGTGGCCAACCTCATAGTTCAAGGGGGTTTCTGAGGCTCCATGTGGCCCAAGGCTTCATACAGGCACAGGCTTTAGAGTTCAGCCAGGGGTGGGGCCACAGCCTTTGTTACCTGTGTGGCCTGACATGTTACTACTCATGTCGGCATCCTATCAAGGATGGCTAAAGCCAGTCCACCCAGGAGTTCAGCATAGCCAGGAAGCATGAACTTCAGAGTTCAGGGCAGCACAGAATGGGTGCAGAAAAGGACATTATTGGAAACGATCATGGGGTGCCTGGGTGGCTCAATCGGTTAAGCTTCTGACTCTTGATTTTGGCTCTCATGGTTTGAGAGTTCAAGCCCCAAATCAGGCTCTGCACTGCCTGTGTGGAGTCTGGTTGGGATTCTCTCTCTCTCTCTCTCTCTCTCTCTCTCTCTCTCTCTCAATCTCTCTCTCTTTCTTCCCCTCTGTTGCTCTCATGCTGTCTCTCTCTCTCAAAATAAATAAATAAACTTAAAAAAAAAAAAGGAAACCATCTCATTATAAGGACTTCCATTTTATTTCGGACTCTGGTACCAAAATCACAAATATAGTCATCTGAAAAATACAGCTAAGAAATGGCATTGAAAATGTTTTTCAACAAAGAAGGGATTGATGGAAAGTCCCAAGACTGCCACAAACCAGGATGACCTATGCACAATTCTTACACGTGCGGGTCTTTCTTCATTTTTGTTACATGCTGTCCGCAGGCCCTCCCTGACCCCCTGAGGCCTTTTCCACCTGGGATGATCTGGCTTTGCCCTGACGCCTTCTACCTACAAGTGAACAGTGTTTGAAGGCAATGCCAGGCAGGTGAGCAGCAGGCCTGCTCCCTGGACACGTGAGCTGGCCTTGTCTCCAATCTCCTCACCTCAGGCTTGCAGGGTCCCTTGTTACAACCCGTCCCTGCCTTGACCGGTCCTGCAGGCTTAAATGCTCAAAGCTGACACTGTTTTCAGTTCAATAAAATTCTTTTTAAAAAATTTTTAAAAATATTAATTTATTTTTGAGAGAGAGATGGAGTGTGAGTGGGGGAGGGACAGAGAGAGAGGGAGACACAGAATCTGCACCAGGCTCCAGGCTCTGAGCTGTCAGCAGAGCCCGATGTGGGGCTCGAACTCACAAAATGAGATCATGACCCAAGCTGAACTCAGACACTTAACTCACTGAGCCACCCAGGCACCCTTAAGCTGATGCTGTTTTCAAGTTGCTTGACTCACCACCTGTACTCTTCTGAGGAACATCTCAAATACTGAGGAAGATGAGAGTTTTCATGTGTCCACAGGCCAAGTTTAATGGGACAAGCTGGCATGAAATGAAGCTTGCTTTCTATTTAGTTTTGACTAACAAAATTCCTTGCATGTTTCCAATAAAGAATGGAAGGAAATATAAAACAATGAATTGCTAAGTATGAGAATGCCACTTTCCACATAAGTAAGTAATTATTTAGAGCTGTTTGCTTTTTTTTTTTTTAAAGAGCCTCAGGACACAGAAGCCAGTGCTTTGGCCTGCAAATCGAAAATATTTAGTTATTCCTCTGTTAAACTGGTAGCATTTGAGTTGTATGCCCTTTTGCCTCGTAGGAATCAACATGCAAACACACAATTGTGAGGATTGAAGCAACCCAAATGTGATTTTTTGAATAATTTAAAATCTCATCTACAACTGGCAATTTCAAATGGCTGGCATGTTCCAAGCCAGTTTTGATGCCTTAACTGAATCTCTTTTTGACACCGTAATTGCATGTTCTTTCTGACCCATCCAGACACTAACAACCTAGAGTTTTTATTTGGCTTATGACAGATGAAATGTCACCATTGCATTATCAATTATCAACTAAAGTTTATAAAGATCAGCCTGTGGCCGCCTGAAGGGGGATTCTGGTATGTGACGCAGCATGGGAGGTAGACTTGGGGTTCTGGCCCACCCAGCTCTCTGTGGCCCTACAAAGGGCAGGAGGTGGTGAGCTTTAACCAGGAAATGAAGGAGGGGCACCTGGGTGGCTCAGTCCGTTAAGCATCCGACTCTTGATTTCGGCTCAGGTCATGATCTCAAGTTTCATGAGACCGAGTTCTGCATCAGGCTCTGTGCTGATAGCATGGAGCCTGCTTGGGATTCTCTCTCTCCTGCTCTCTCTGTACCCCACTCAAAAAAAATAAAAATAAAAAAAACTTAAAAATACATACTAAAAAAATTTTAAAAAGAAAAGGAGGGAAGGGATTTCTTCACGTCCCTTAAGGATGGCCTTGAAATGGAAGGAAATCCTGACCCATGCTACAACATGGATACACTCTGAGGACATTGTGCCATGTGTGCCAGTCACAAAAAGTCAATTCCTGTATGATTCCACTTATGTGAGCTGCTTAGCAGTCAAACTCATAGAGAGGAAAAGTAGAATGGCAATTGCCAGAGCTTGGGGGAGGGGTTATAGGCAGTACTATGGGCTGAATCGTGTCCTCCCAAACTCATATATTGAAGCCCTCCCTCCAATACTCAGAATGTGACTGTATTTGGAGACACAGGGTCTTTAAAGAGGTAATTAAGGTAAAACGGGTCATTAGGGTGGGCCCTAATCCAATACGACTGGGGTCCTTATACGATTGGGGTCCCTAATCCAGTACGACTGGGACCTAGATACACACATAGATGGAGGGAAGACCGCCTGAGTACACGAGGGAGAAGGCGGAGTCTCCCACTTTCTCTGCCCCTCCCCCACTTGCAACGTTTCTGACTCTCTCAAAATAAACTTAAAAAAATGGTTAAAATGGTAAATTTTATGAGTGTTTTACTGTGTTAAAAATTTACAGAAAACAAAGGAAAAGAGGAGAAGACAAGTGGGAACTTACTTTGCTTCTAAAGCCAAGGCGATGATGCCCGCCACCATGGGGGCTGAAACCGAGGTCCCAGTGTGGCCGTCGGTACAGCGCTGGCGCAGATCCGTGGTGACCTGGGTGATAAGAGGCTAAGTCAGCTCCCAGATGTCGGAAGCTACTCAAGAGGCACTATGCATTCATATCTCTGCAGCCAAGCTTTTTTTTTTTTAATGTTTGTTTATTTTGAGAGAGGCAGGAGGGGCAGAGAGAGAGAGGGAGAGAGAGAATCCCAAGCAGGCTCCGTGCAACCAGCGCAGAGCCGGACATGGGGCTCAAACTCGGAACCGTGAGATGGTGACCTGAGCCGAAACCAAGAGTCAGATGCTTAACGGACTGAGCCACCCAGGCGCCCCTCTGCAGTCAAGCTTTGTGTCAGATACTCCCTGCTAAGCTGCTTTGCTCGCATGTGTAAAACACTGACCCACTGCAGGGATGAGCTAATCACAGCTTGAGAACCAGGAGACAAGGGAGATGGGATACAAACAGCTGGAAGCAAGACAAACAGCTGGAAGCCGCATAACCTCCTTGCTGCAGGTGTGCGTGCTGAGACACAAAGGTAAGACAAAATGAAACAAAGAGGGCCTTCCATTGCAGAGTCCCCATGGCGAGACCACCTGCGCTAGCCCACAGGAATGACCCCCAAGTCACCCCTGACCTCAGAGCAGCTGGAAACATGCGGGGGGTGCCCAGGTGGCCCAGACAGCATCTCTGCCTTTAGTCAGAAGATCAGAGGTCAGTCATAGAAGGGCACAGATCACTCTCCACCAGGACGTCCTCCTTAGATCATTGACTGTGTCCCAAAGCACCCAGTTCCATCTGTAGCAGCGGACGAACCCGGCGAGTTCTCCACCTTCACAGCGCCTGCTGTACGGGACCACAAAGCTGGCCCCTCTCCTTGGGGAGGCAAAGCTGACTCAGCAAACTGCAGGGGCCCCGCATGCCTTCCTCTGAGGCACTGACTCCCAGCTGGGTGGGGAAATTGATTCTGGGCCCCACTGGCATACAGCCTGATTTGCCCCTTGCCTTTGAGCTGAAATGAGGAAGCAGCACCAGGGAATCACCCGATTTGGGTTGGGCTGTGCCACACCTGCTGCACTAGATGGGATTCTGGCCCTCAAGCTATTCCCCATGGGCTCTGCAGATGGGACTAAGGTTGCTGATCAGCAGACCTTAAATCATTGAGAATATCCTGGATTAGCCAGTGGGCCCAATGTAATCACAAGGGCCCCCAGAAGTGGAAGGAGGCAGAAAAATGTGTCAGAGAGATGAGGCAGAAGAGAGGCCCAAGCCATCATTGCTGGCTTTGAACACAGAGATGGAGAAACATAAGCCAAGGAATGTGGGCGGCCAGGAGATGCTGAGAACAGCCCTTAGCAGACAGCCCACCAGGAAACAGGAGCTCAGTCCTATAACCACAAGAAAGTAAATGCCGCCAACAACCTGAATGAGCACAGAATGGACTCCCCACTAGAGCCTCGGGAAGGGAACACGGCCTGGCAGGCACGTGGATTTCAGCCTCAGGGGACTCAGAACAGAGACTCCGTGGAGGCTGCTGCACTTCTGACCTCCCGAACTATGAGATAATAAATCTGTGCGGTTTAAGCTAAGTTTGGGATAGTTGGTTACGACAGCAATAGGAAACTGATAGCCTCACCAACTGTAAGCCTCTAGTAGCCGATCTGCATAGCCCTGAAGCACGAATTGCCCTAGTGCTAACAATCCAGATCCTCTCCCAAACAGAGTATCTTCCTTCTTCACGTTCTGGCTGGGCTGCAATCACCCAGACAGGATCTAGCCTGTCTCTCTCACACACAGGAAGGATTGGACAGGAACACTGGCAGAGACCAGCCTGCTCCTCCCTCCCTGTTCAGCAGGACTGAGGCAACCTAATGTTAGGAAGGGCAGCTGAGGGTAGGGAAGTAGGGACAAGGATGCAACCTCTCTGACCCCAGGATCTTCATCTGCAAATGGGCACAATGCCACATCCTTTATAAGGTTTCTGGTGAAAGTCACAGCTGGCACCTGAAACATACTTACAATGGTGGCCCGTGAGGGAAACTGAGGGCATCTGGGCAGGAGGCCAAGCTCCCAAGAGCAGGTGAGGCCCATGAGAAAGGGCTACTGGGGAGCGAGCAGTGGGTCCTCCATACAGGGAGGAGATGGCTCAACCAAGTCAGGCAGGTCCCCCTTTCTGAGACCAAATGTCGTGCATGGTCTGCTCATGTTCAGTGAATGAAAGAGCCAAGGAATAATTGAGTAAGAGATGCTCACGTTAGGTGTCACTCCATTTATAAAAAGTCACGTCAGCACCAGGCAATCCCACCCTCCAGGCAAATGCTGCCTGGCATTCACTAGAGGGCATGGATGGGACAGAGCCTTGATTTCCAGCTGACAGCAAGCTGCCAAAAGTCCAGAGCTTGGAGGTTCTCTAAGGGGACTCAGAGCAAACGCTTGGCTCTAGTTGAGCTGAAAACAATAATAACAACAAACAAAAAATGCCGTCCATACTCTCAGAGAAGAATTCCAGTCCAGAGCAAGAACTGACTCACTCTCTCTTTTACCATCCTCTTAACTACACCCTTCTGACCCATGTTATGGCTCAGAGAAGGGACTTAAGAAAGAAAAAAGAATCAAGGCGTTTGTAGCTAAGGTGTGTGCACACGCAGTATGATTAATCAAATAAAGCTGCAAGCCCTGCTCCCAGGGTTGAGAGACAGGGTCGTCCCGTAGGAAGCCTCTGGTACAAAGCGTTCAATGATCCAGTCTCCACCCCACACGCCTCCAGCCAGCAGGCCTGTTTAACAAGACTCCGGCAAGTTCGAGTTCAAATGAAGCTGGATTCCTAAACGAACAGGACACTGTGCAGAATCTCGGCCGCCTGTCCCAGGGGCACGTGCTCCAGTAGAAAAGGAAAATAAATTAATACCTTTGTTAACTAGCCCGGGCCGCTGCCAGGCTGGTGGCGGAACAGCCGTGGCTGACCTTTCAACTGGTACAGAGCAAAGTGGGGAACAGGGAGCCTGTATGCTCCCGCAGAAAAACCTAAAAATAAATTTGCAAATAATTTCTCGAGATGCGATGAAGCAGCAGGAGAAATAAAAAAGATGCTAGTGAGCTTGCTTTCAAATTAAACCGTGTCTGGCCAGCTCCACGGTCTCATTTTTTAAACGTCTAAAAAGCAACTTAATGAGTGTGCATTTGAATTCTGCATTAATTTCAGTTCAAAATCCTCCCCCTCTTTACTTTTCTTAAAGCAGGAAAGCCTGTAGGGAAAAAAGAAACACGGATTCCACCCATATGCTAAACGGAAACACTTTTTAAAAGAGAAATCACACTGATGTCCATTGAAGTGAAAGTAACAGACAGAAAAACCAGTGCTCAATTTGAAGGGTCTGGGGCAAGTCCTTTTGTTAGGGAGAGGATGGCCTGGAAGAACACTTAGATCTCTAAAATGTTTCAGTATAAAACCAAGACTTTCCCTTCCTCTCTTTGGCACATTGAAACTGAACCGGTCAGCTGGATCCCAAGCGATGTGACCACAGAAATTTAGAGAGCTAAAAGGAGGCACAGTGCTGAGAATGCACCCCATTCTTAAATGCTATTTTTAGATCTCTGAAGCCAGAGAGGGTTTTAATCGGTATTTTGTGCAAAAATTAGAAAGGCAGGGCCTGGGGAAGGTTGCCAAGGGACTGGGGTTTCCCTCGAGGTACAACCAGTTCGCTGATGGGGGAGGTTGGTACTCTGGGAGCCAGTACAAACTGGCCTCAGGGAAAAGAAACTTGTCCCCAAAGGGCTGGAGGAGCAGATCCTAAGCTCTCCACCTGGCCAAGAGGACTCACAATTTTCCGCTCGTAGAATGCCCCGCTGCTGTAGGTGGTGGCCAGGGTGGACGCACACTCTTCCAGGTACCACGGCTTGTAGCCGTTCTCGGTAGTGCTGCTCACGGAGATGGTGTAGATGCTGTTGGTGTAGCCATCACAGGAACAGTGGTCCCCCTCTCTCCCGCCATTCCCAGATGCCCAGACGAAAATGGAGCCCAGGCCCTGCCGACCCTAGACAGGAAGGACAACAAGGTCTCAGTCAGCCCCGGCAGCTACAACTTCGAAGAGTGGGTCTCACACCAGCCCGGAGTCCTTCCCTCGGAATGTCCCTTCCAAGGGTCTAAGAAGGATGCATTCAGGGGTGCCTGAGTGGCTCAGTCGGTTGAGCATCCAACTTCGGCTCAGGTCATGATCTCACGGTTCACGAGTTTGAGCCCCACGTCGCACTCTGTGCTGACAGCTCAGAACCTGGAGCCTGCTTCAGATTCTGTGTCTCCTTCTTTTGTCTCTGCCCCTCCCCAACTTGTGCTCTGTCTCTCTCTTTTTCTCTTAACAGTAAATAAACATTAAAAAAAAAAGGATGCATTCAGATTGTATGATGCTACCAAGGACATGGTTCTGTGGGCCCCTGTTTTATTTTAAAGGATTCTTTTATTTTTTTAATGTTTATTTATTTTTGAGAGAGAGAGAACATGAGTAGGGGAGGAGCAGAGAGAGAGAGGGAGACACAGAATCTGAAGCAGGCTCCAGTCTCTGAGCCATTCAGTGCAGAGCCTGATGTGGGGCTTGAACCCACAAAGCTTGAGATCATGACCTGAGCCAAAATAGGATGCTTAACTGACTGAGCCACCCAGGCACCCCTCCTGTTTTATTTTAATAGAGCACTTCTGCCTGTGGTGACAGGCTTAATGCTGCAGAATCACAGATTGCACTGAGGAGATGGCCCAGAAAGACCTCTCTGTTCTTCATGGGAAAATCAAGGGCCTTCAAATAAGCTGTTCTATTCCAGAGCCATGCCTGTAATTTCCATCGTAATGTCCGATCATCACAAAGAGCAGTATTACTGAGAAGAAAAATTGATGGCTGAATTTATAAAATTAATTTTTCTGGACTGAAAGAGCTGGTCCTGTGAGGCAGAGGGTGAATTTTCTTAAAAACCCAGTGGAAAAGGCACATGTCTTAGAGAGCAAGCTAATTTTTAAAAATTGTTTAATGTTTATTTATTTTTGAGAGACAGAGCATGAGTAGGGGAGAGACAGAGAAAGGAGGAGACACAGAATCCGAAGCAGGCTCCAGGCTCTGAGCTGTCAGCACAGAGCCTGATGTGGGGCTCAAACCCATGAACCATGAGATCATGACCTGTGCTGAAGTTAGATACTTCATGGTGCTCCAGAGCAAGCTAATTTTTGAGAAGAGGGGGTGGGACTGTGAATTCTGGGTGAGGACTGAACAGGTAAAAAGGGTCATGGTCCAGAATGCCCTGGCTGCTCATGGCCATCTTATGAGGGCTTCCCAGTGTCCCTGCCATGGGTCCGCATTAAAGCAGTCAGATGGTCAATGCCAGCCAAGGCCAGCACTTCACCTGTACCTAGGTTTTTATTTTTAGGAACGCATACAGGAGAGCAAGTGTTTGAGAGGCAGTGGTGGTCAGGGTAGCTTCCTGCAGCTCTGTTCCATCCCACATCCACAGAAGCAATGATTTCTGATCCAACCAAGTCACAAACACCAGCTAAAGATGAACTAATCCAAGACAGAGCTCACCATTCTGCCCAAGTGGCTGGACCCATTGGTGGTGCACAGCCAGCCCCAGAGAGCAGTGCCAACACCCATGTAGGTGAAACTGGACCCACAGGGCTGGTAACTTTGGTGTCCTTGTCGAGGACCCTTCTTTCCAAATAAGTGGGAGGAAATTGATACTTATGCCCAACAACTGGCCAATTCAAAGAAAACCTGCAACAGAATTCTGCGATCCCCACAGAGTCCAACTGAAGCCTTGCTGCTGACTCAGGGGGCATTACACTCACTCTGAGTTCAAGTCCATCCCAGGCTGAGTAGATCCAACTACTCTGAAAGCCCCATGACGTTCCACTTTGTAGACCAAATGGACTATAGTTCTTTGCCCTTTTGTGCCTATTTGTCATGACTCTGACATTTCCTCCAGTTTCCAACCTGAGGCTCTCATCACAGTCCACAGAAGGTCCCTCACGCCTACGCAATCCCGCTGCTCAAAACTGCCTCACTCACTCCACTTTCCACATGTCCCAGGGGGGACTGTCCACATGGCCATGAGCTCCACAGAAAGGTTACTCACATTTAGCCAAAAGGTCAACCTTCTGGAAGAAAGGCACAAAGTACCTTAGAAATGGGTGTGTCTGTATGTAATTCTCTTTGAAACTAGTTCAAAGAAACGGAAATCCAAATAAAAAGGTATTTAACCCATCAGAGCCGATCTTTATTCCATGCGGATTATTTATTTATGAAACACTGTCATTTTGCTAAGTGGGGCCTATAATCTTATTGTTCCAGAAGCACAGACGATGCCTCCACACAGCATTCCTCGTACCGGAGCATGCACACAGGTCACTGGGGGCTTTGCTCCATGGCAGACTCAGACTTGGCAGGTCTAGGGGGAGCCCTGAGATTCTGTATTTCTTTAAAATAGTTTACTTTTTTTTATTTTTAAAAAATGCTTATTTATTTTGAGAAAGAGAGAGCCAGACAGTGAGCAGGGGAGGGGCAGAGAGAGAGGGAGACAGAGAATTCCAAGCAGGCTCCACTCTGTTAGTACAGAGCCCGATGTGGGGCTTGAACTCACAAACCACGAGATCAGGACTGAGCCAAAATCATGAGTCAGATGCTTAGCTGACTGAGCCACCCAGGCTCCCCAAGATTCTGTATTTCTAATGAGCTCCCAGGTGATGCCCGCGTGGTTGCTTCTGGACTCCACTTTGGGTAACAAGGGCCTAAAGTGCCAAAGGCATATATATGCCACCTTACACCACACAGTTACTCCTAGACCAATCCATTCTCTCAGGTGTCCAGGCATCAAAAACCTTTCTCCTTCCTGAAAAGTCTCCTAAAAAGAATGTGAAAGTGAGGTGGAGAAAATACCCAGATCTGAGGTGTGGGAGATGTGTTCGCTGTCTCTTTCATGTTCATTTCCCAGGTCATGGAAGCCACAGGGCAGAAGTTATAGGAGACGACAGTTCAACCCCAGCCATGAACTTGTATTTCTGTTCAGGACAGTCACAACCTCAACTGGATCAAAACCTATTTCAGCGTCCTGCCTGGGAGGTGAAGGGTTCATCTGTGAACTCCGAAGCACCGTTCCTGAGGGCTAGCAAATGCCTGGCATCTGGGCAAGGCCAGCCTTTCCAGCCTCAGCCATGTTGCATGTCCCCTTTGGGATGACAAGCTACGTGAGGGGCAAAGCTTCCTAAGGGCCGACATTAGGCACATCCCTATGCCAAATTATGGTCTCTGAAGTCTCCAAACCACATCGTCTACCAGAAATGAAGTCAGACTTGACAGAAAAAGACTGTAGGTGACAAATGGGGAACCGAGGAGGAAAAACAGATGGGGGAATGTGGTCTGGTTTGAGATCACCAAATTTCTAGGAGGATTTTCAGTGACAACTTTAGACGGCTACGATTTAAGGCTCCCTATATGATATATTTTACTTCAGAATGACTGAAAAAAAATGAAATGACCTCAGTATTTCAAGCAACTGTGACAAGAATGACAGGGAACCACATGGTCCCTTCTGCAGCTTCCTCACCCCCCCCGACAGCCTGATAAAGCTGACGCTGCTCGGAATTCGGCACGCAAAGAGCCCCTCTCTGCAGCTCCAGGCTTTCCAAAGTCCTCCATGGGTTCGTCTACACAAACCCAAGTAAACTGAGATACCAAAAAATTGTTTGAAAACAATTTGGGGCACCTGGGTGGCTCAGTCAGTTAAGCGTCGGACTCTTGATTTCGGCTCAGGTCGTAACATCATGGTTCGTGGGATTAAACCCCATGTTGGGCTTTGTGCTGACACCATAGAACCTGCTTGGGATTCTCTCTCTCTCTCTCTCTCTCTCTCTCTCTCTGTCTGCTCCTCCCCCACTCACACATACACACTGTTTCAAAAATAAATAAATTTTAAAAACTTAAAAAAAAAGAAAGAAAACAATCATTTACTTATCCAGGAAATGGGAGGCCCTGTCCTAAGACATCAGATCTTTAGAAATCATCTTCTAGAATAACACATGTTTAGGATTAACACCATTCAAAGCAGTGTCTTCCACACAGAAAATGTGATCTCTAGTTTATAGCTTAAATTAAGCTTAACTTTTAGGATGTTCCACTTGTCACCAAGAGTGAGATCCATGTGATCTAGTGGGTGGTAGGAGCTGAGTACTGGGAAGATAAGATATTTTTACCGGACAGCCCCTTGTAGGCAGCAGCTGACTTGGTCACAGAACCTTCCGGCACCTGGCACAGCTCAGGTGCTCAGCAACCCGACAGAAGCAGCCTTTGCATTTTCTTGGAGTTATGTGGGTGAGGGGTGGGGGCAGGCAAAAGAGGCTGTGTGGTGTCGCAGGCATGACCATAAGGTCAAATGCCAGGTTGGGAGCATTCTAACACATAAATGCTCAAACTCCACAAAAAAGTAATAGAAAATGGCCAAACTCAATACATCCAGAAAAGCGATCAAGTCATATTATTTAGAAGAAAGAAATAATGAACAGGGTTTAAAAAAGATGGCTCCTCTATGGGGCAGGGCCAGGGGTTGGGCAGAGGGTAGACAAAGAAAGGTTGCCTTTAACACAATCTTCTGATAATATTTGATTTATTCATTAACTATTTATTAATAACATTTTAATCATGGTGCATAGGTTACAATAAGTAAGGACTTTAAAAAAATGTTTTAAAGCATAAACAATAAGGGGCACTGGGTGGCTCAGTCGGTTAAGCCTCTGACTCTTGATTTAGGCTCAGGTCATGATCTCACAGTTTCGTGAGTTCAAGCCCCGCATCGGGCTCTGTGCTGATGGTGTGGAGCCTGCTTGGGATTCTCCCTCTTTCTCTGCCCCTCACCCACTTGCACTCTCTTTGTCTCTCTCAAAATAAATAAATAAACTTCAAAAAAAAAGATTTATAAAGCACAAATAATAAAATGGACTTGAACCACCCTCTTCCCCAGCCTTTCTCCCCCATCTCCAATAGAAGTCAGAAGTATGAATGCTGACCCAGGGACGCTTGGACTTCCTGCCCAAACCCCTGCCAGCATCGCCAGGCCATACCCTATACTCTGGGCTGGGCCTTGTTGGGCCACCCAAAGCCACCCGGACACTGACCACAACTCTGTCTGCCTGCTCCAAGAAGCTGTCCTCACCCAGAAATCTGCCGCACCACCTGGCTTACAAGAACTGGGTTATCTCCAGTCCCTCCTTCCCTTCCCCCTGCATTTTTGACTCCCAAGGACCCAGAACTAATGATCACAGAGTGACTGTGGGTGGGCCTCCTGGTGGGTGGAGGAGAAGAAGGCTGCCAGCTTCCTCTGCTTCCCCTCAGCTGGTCAGTGGAGAACCACTGCTTGGATGTTTGCTCTGTTTAGTCCCTGGTGAGGCTCCACCCAAGAAATCCTAAACACATTAGGCTGTGTGCTGGCACTGAGGGCAAAAAGGCCAGGCCTTCCTGCTTTGGAGGCCCTAGATTAGCACACGCTCGTGACGGACACAGGAAGCTCCACGGCTGGGTGTTTCCATGGGCAGGTGGTCCGAGGCTCAGGACACCCCTTCCACCTGCACATTCCAGGTTAACAGGCCAGGTAGTTGGACTAAGAGCCCGGCTGCCCACCTTCACATACCCCTTGGCTGGGGGCTGTCAGGCTTCAAGGCACAGAGTCCTGGGCTTGGTGGGTGACCAGCTGGCACCTGCTGAAATAGCCGTTCTATGACAAGGTGAAATTCTTCTGCTCTGGATGGTAGAGAGCCACCTCCCTGAGCCCCTAAATGACTTCTCCCTCACACTGGTCCTGGCACAGCAGGGCCATCCTGGTCCTCTTTTGGGGCTCTGGCTTGTGTCACTCTGTTTTTAATCGCTAAAAACTTTTTTTTACCCTTCCCCCCCACCCCGCCCCTGAGAGATCCACCGAAGCCCTGAACAACTCACACCTTTTTAATGCCATACTCAAAGGCTTGTTTAGCCAGGCGGCCAGGCCCGTCCACGGTCTTCCCGTCGTCGTCCGGCCCCCAGCTCGCGCTGTAAATGTCGATGTAGTTGGGTCTGATGCCCAGAGACTTGGCCTCCACCACATCCGTCACGTCGCCGTCCAGCATGCGGATGCCTGCAAGCACACAAGGGGGCTCCATGCATGCCTGCTCTGCACTTGGGAGGGCGGCAGAGACCGTGACCCCAGGGCAAAGGGGTACGGCCAGGGAGCCCCACACAGTTCTGGAGCCTTCCAGTGTCATTCTGGAAAGCTTTCCCCCCATCCTGTGCTGGCCGAGGTGAAGGACTTCAAATACCATCTGGGGCCACGCTGTGGCGTCCCCGACACCGGACAGCAGCAAAGGAAACATAGGTGTTTGGAAAATATAGGATTTAAGCAATTTCCTCAGTAGTACAATATCATTCTGGTATTTAACAACAGAACATATTAGACGTATTATGATTATTATTTCTAGAACAGAACTCTGGGGTCATTTTCAACTTTCCCTGCTGTCAACAGTTTATTTCTCCTTAAAAAAATTTTTTTTTTCAACGTTTATTTATTTTTGGGACAGAGAGAGACAGAGCATGAACGGGGGAGGGGCAGAGAGAGAGGGAGACACAGAATCGGAAACAGGCTCCAGGCTCTGAGCCATCAGCCCAGAGCCCGACGCGGGGCTCGAACTCCCGGACCGCAAGATCGTGACCTGGCTGAAGTCGGACGCTTAACCGACTGCGCCACCCAGGCGCCCCGTTTCTCCTTTTTAAAAAACATGACTCCATCTCTGATTTGTAATTAGGAGTTTTTAACCTGAAAGACGGAAGGCCTCCCCCTAGCATATCAAGGCGGGGGGTGGGGGGCATCTTATCTCAGTGTATGTTCTGGTTCCGGGTTCCCCAGAGGGCTCTTTAGATGCTGGGGAGTACAGATTCCTCAAGAGCACCTCAAAAGGAGAGGGGGGTGAGCCAGGAACCTCTTCCGAAGCCTGCCTCCTCGGCCAGGGGTCCCCTGCCCGCCCTGGGCCCAGCATTTGCCTCCATTAATGATTACACTCTGCACCCAGCAAGTGTGGTACCCCTGTGCCACATCCAGAGAGGGGGTCTCAGTGATGCTGGGATGTGACTGGGAAGCAAGGGTAATGATGGCCACCAGCATGTCCTGCCTGGATGCAGAATGGGACCTCTCTGAGGCTCAGAAAACCTGTGCCCTCTCACCCCGGATCAGCGCTCTCTAGGTGACTCCTCGGGGACCACAGCCACTCCGCTCAGAGGTCCCCAGAAACCCCTCCTCCACCAGGCCCAGCTCCATGTGTGTGGTGGCCATGCCAACGAATTTTAAATCTTGAGCTATTTAAGACATAACAGGAAAGAGGACTTTTTCTGATTATAAGCATCACATATGCTCTTTGCAGAAAGTTTGGAAAATAGAGAAATAACTAGTGATAATATTTTGGTTATTTTCTTCCAGTATTTTTCTTTGGCCACAGCATGCACTTTCTCTCCAAGTTCTTTTTTTACCACAGAACCTCATACAGAACATTTCCCTGCGCCATTAAAGACTCTTCTAAGACTCGATTGTTAATGGCCGCAGCTTACCCTCCCGTGCACCCCAGCCCAGGCGGCACTTTCCCCGAGGTTTGCCTCACTGAGCAGAGAGGCCCCCACCTTCCCCAGACTGGGCTGGATCTACTCATGCAATATCCCAGAATCTGCGTCGACAAGAGAGCACATATGCCAAAAATAGAAACGCGGAATACAAATGACTTTAAAAGACAGAACGGTGACTTTTCCCCAGGATGAAAAGAAATGGTACAGGGCTCAGGCAGGAAGAACCACAAGAAAGAGACTCTTTGAGGGGACACCCTCCCCAGGGGCTCAGGGACAGATGTGGGATGTGGATTAAACCTTCCTGTCCCACCCATTTTAACTGGAATTGTGGAGGTGCCTTGCTGTCCCTTTTGATGGATAGTTGAGAGGCAGAGATCCCTAACACATAAATTTCGAATGATACCTAATCTCTCACCCAGTAACACAGGGATCGTAGTCGAACAACTAACAGTACTTTATGATTTGTCAGGGTGAGAAACTTCCTACCTACAGAGAATGTGAAGATGATTTAAATGCAGTAAATTATTCCAGCCTATCAACTTGTCCTGCCTGGTTTTTGAAGGTTCAGGTTGTCCTGAAGTGTTCTCTTTCAGGCCTGTCCTAACAATTCTGGTTGTGAGTTGAGAGAGAAAAGGTAAAAGGCACCGTGCAGGGTCCCTGGGAAGCCGAGTAGGACAGTTGTGCTGATAGGAGGAGGGAGGGCCACCATAGGGCACACTATCTTGGCCCTGTGCTTACGTGGGACACAAAGCAAACTGGAACCGCTTACTCCAGAAGCCTGGAAATCATACTCAAAATCAATGTCAGAGAAATTATAGCAAAACAACAGTGAGACTGAGGTCTGGGAGACATCAGGAGTTCAGTGACAGGGCCAAGAGCCATTTGGGAGTGTTACGGCACAGGCAGTGACAGAAGGTGGTGCTGGAGTCATCAGAAGAACCATGTCTTTATGGCGGAAAGACCTTAAAAATGAGAAGCAGAAATAAATTCTAACTTCAACCCTGTCTGTTCTATCTTCTGGCTCGCTATCTATTTCCCTTCCTCTCTTTACTACCTGTTATGGACTGAATGTTTGTGTTCCCCCACATTCACATGCTGAAGCCCCACCCCACCCCGTGTGGTGAAGACAGGAGTTTTAGGAGGTAATTAGCTTTGGATGAGGTCATGAGGGTGGGGCCCCCACGATGGCTTAGTGCCCTTATAAAAAGAGTCCACAGACAGCTTGCTTCTTCTGTTTCTCTCTACCACATGAGGACACAGAGAAGTTAGCCATCTGTGAACCACCAAGTGAGCCCTCACAGGGGAGCAGAATGAACAAGCACCATGACCTTGGACTTCCAGCCTCCAGAACTGTGAGAATTGTCTGTTGTGTAAGCTCCCAGTCTGGAATTTTGTTATGGTGGCCCCAGCTGATGCAGACAGGACCTCAGCTGCCTGGCTTAGGATGGGCCAGGAAGCCACCACTGTTCACACACTAAGATGGCACCACATGGCCAGTAGATGTGGACTCCTGTCACCGCTCCCGAGGAGTGGCCCATGGAGCAGAGCTCTCTACGGACAGTGTGCCATGGGACCGGCAGGAGGGAGGTAGGGCATGCCACGGGTGACAGTCCTGCCGTGACCACCAACTAGTGACTCTGGGAATTACCCCATGTCACTGAGCCTCCATTTCCTATAGATTGCATTGATGAAAGTTATCATATCTACAAAGGTGCCATAAAAGCTAAAAAAGAGGGGTGCCTGGACAGAGATGCAGAGATCCAAAGAGACACAGATTCCGAAGCAGGCTCCAGGCACTGAGCTGTCAGCGCAGAGCCCGATGTGGGCTCACCAACTGTGAGATCATGACCTGAGATGAAGTCGGACGCTTAACCGACTGAGCCACCCAGGCGCCCCAGTTTTTTACCTTTGTTTTAAAAACATATGCTATTTGATAATGTATGAAGGATCATAAGTTACATACATGTTAGTGGTAAAGCCTAAGGAAACTGACACTCACAAGCCCTCCCTCCATTCAATGTAAATATAAACATGACCCACTGGGGTCTCTACCTATGCCCTGCCCCTCACAGAGGAAATTACTCAGAATTTTGGACTGTCTTTTCATAACCTTTTTTTTTTTTTCAAATAAAGGGATGCTTATTATATGGTTTTAATGTTTATTTTTGGGAAAGAGAGAGAGACAGAGCATGAGCAGGGGAGAGGCAGAGAGAGAGGGAGAAAGAGAATCCAAAGTAGGCTCTAGGCTCTGAGCTCTCAGCACAGAGCCTGATACAGGGCTTGAACTCATGAACTGCCAGATCATGACCTGAGCTGAAGTCGGATGCTTAACGGACTGAGCCACCTAGGCGTCCTCATTGCCTTTTAAAAACTAGTGTTTTAACACAATTGTATGCATGCTTAAATGACATATTGCTTCCTTTTGCTTGTACTGGGAATTAATCCTTCATTGGTTAGACACATTACCACTATCTTCTTTCAGTTGAAGCCTTGTCTCCTCACTTTATTTATGGTATCTTTTGCTAGACAGAGATACTTAATTTCAAAGGAGTAAGAACAACTTCCTTCGAGGATCGAGGGAGTTATAACGGAAGCCAAATTTATGTGAGTTCATTGGGATCTATTGCGGGGTTCCTTTCTCCCTTTTATAGGTGGGGCAGATCCACTTTTTACATCAGCTCAGTGTACTTTCTTTCTTTCTGATTTCTGGGTGGACACGATGAGTCCGGGTGATCTGAAAGGTTACCTTTCTTCAGTCACTGGTCTCTGTGCTCAGGGCTTCCCTCTGTCAGAGACACTGGGCCCAGGTGCTTACTTAGCCATCAGCCCAAAGAGAGGGGCCATAACCAGTAGTACAGGATGTTGGCAGTGTGCTGTGGCAACGGTGTGGCCTCTGGCAAGATTAAAGAAAGAGCAGCTCACAGTGGGGGAAAGAGAACAGGGGTCAGAGAGTCCTGGGGTGGGATCCCAGCTCTGTCTAACCTCAGACCAGGATCTCAACCTCTCTGAGCCCTTGTCTTCCACAATATTTACCTGGCGGAATAGCTGAGAGAGTTAAATATATGTTGAGGCCATAGTGCCTGGTGCTGTTCGAGAAATGGTCGCTTTTTCTTTATATCCTTATGTTCCACAACAGGCTTTCCAGGGCAGCAGAAGGCCTTGACAGCCACACAGGCAGCCAAAATCAATTCTGATGTTCTAGTGCCGAAATGCAACCTGTTATTCTAGACTTCTCCATGCAAGTTAGAGGTGTTGGAATGCCTACCTTTAAACAAATATGTATTTATTTTGAGAGAGAGAGAGAGAGAGAGAGAGAGAAAGAGAGAGAGCACGGGGAGGGGCAGAGGGAGAATCCCAAGTGGGGCTCAATCCCACAAACCAGGAGATCATGACCTGAGCTGAAATCAAGAGTTGGGATGCTTAACCGAATGAGCCACCCAGAGGCCCCTGAATGCCTACTTTTTAAAAATTTCAGTATAACTAGCATACAGCATTATATTAATTTCAGTATACAATATGGTGATTCAA